CAAATTTCATTCCAATATTACAATTATTTTGAAATCTATTAAGAAAAAAACAAAAATAAGAATTCAAGTTTGACACGCTTTTCTGCTTATTTTGACGTCAGCAACATGCTTCTGAATTTTCTACACGTACTTAAGAAACACCCTGTATAAATAGAAGAACCTGTAATTGCCACCAACTCATTTGTCATTATTCGATTTTCAAAGATGAGCATCCATTATACGTCCACAAATAAACATCCACTGTACGTTTAGAGTGGTGTCCTCGAAACATCCATTGGACGTCCATCGGACGTTTAACGGCCAAATTGGTACGTTCAATGGATGCTTAGATATCGACATCCATTGTGAGTACAAAAAATAGCATTCATTGTACGTCCGAATATAGACATTCACTGTACTTCCAAAGTGTTGTCCTTAGGACACCCAGTGGACGTCTATTGGACGTTAGACGTCCATTCAAGTACTATCTTAAGTGGACGTACATTGTACGTACATTCGACATACATGTGCTGTGTGGGTATGTATTATTAATATTACAAAATACAATAATTAAAAATGGTTATGGGCTAGCTTGAATTCATGGTTTGGATGTTGTTTGACAGAACGAGAATGTCAAATCATCATAATCATGTCAACAACATCAACAACAATGAAGTACTTCTCAACCAGTGGAATTAATTCAAAATGTCAAGTTTGATTTATACTTGGAGTATGAACTTTTCTCACCAAATACCATTAAATTATCCATGCATATTTTTTAAGCTCTTGTGATACTATTAGTAAGTGGAAAGGACCCCGCACTTTCCTTATGGAAAATGGCTTTCGGTTAAATTCCCTGAATTTTTGGTATGATGTAGATTTTGACTACCTAAGCAAAAGTGTCCATGGGCACAAAGAAATCGGCTGACTAGTTTTCGAGATACAGGGTGTCATAGATGAGAAGTGAAGCTTTCTGCTCAGAATTTCTAACAACTCCGAGAATTGACAAAATGCCCATTTATTCATGGAATAACATGCCTGAATGATGGTACAATGTCATCTGGATCTCGTATCCATTATAATTTCACGTTTTGAGCTCTACAACAGGGTGAACAAAGAAAAATCCTGTCTGTAGGTTAATCGAGGAGGTGGTACATTCATTATTCCAAATTTTTTGGGATTTTCTCTCCTCGTTTCTATAAAATAAAAATATGAATATTATTTCAATATACGTGTAGTAAGGACAAATCAGATGATTTGCCCCAAAATGTCACTGCGTTTAAAGAATTTTCCTATCAGAGAGCCTAAAATCGTCGAACTCAATACATTCAGTTCATTGTTGTTGATATGCTCACTAACCTAACATTTTCCACGTCTTGGTCCTATAGCTGGCACTGGCGCGGTATTTGCCATTAGAGCACCTGGTCCATACACACATATGTCACTCTGTGGTTGTATTTATATTGAAACTACAATTCGAACATCTTAGAAAACCTAACCTGCTGTTGATGCAGGTAGAATATTCTCACCACATGGATTATTTGTCAATATTTGTTGCATTGCATACATATGGCATGGCATTGGTGGTTACTTCACATGTTTGTTTGAGTTAATTGTTTCGATTGCAGAAAAAATAGCATGTTTCATTCGGATCAAAAGTGACTTTGTTCGACCCGCAAATTTTGCAATGCAAAATCCGCTTGTCAAACAAAGTGTCACTTTTGATCCTAATAAAACAATCTACTATTTGTGGTAATTTCTTCTTTGAATTTGAATAGCTTTCAGATACTGTAGAATTAGTTCCAACCTTGAGAGGATTATTGCTTCTGATTTCAATTTTCTCTAGTTCCTTCGGAAATAGGGCTTTCAAGTGAAAAACATTTAATTCACCCTGTCTATAAGGTATTGCATTTTTGGAATAGGTACCGCACTAATCTAGCCGGAATATTTTTCAACATGAATTGTTGGAAAATAGCCCATTTAGGACTCCAATGGATATAGTATATCGGGTATCAATAAAATCCGTACATTCAAAAGTATAGTACAGTATGATGCAAATGTATGGAATAAATTCATTTCAAAACAAGACGACTTCCGAAAAACATCCAAAAAGTAGAGTTCAAAACTTTTTTATCGATGTATTTTTTCAACTAGACGACCCTTCGATGTTCAATTCTCAGTAGAAGATCTCTGCAAGATTCAGTTAACCAAATGATAATCCATTTTAATTTCAATCTTCTTTTGCAAAATTTTGACTATTGGATAGACGATCAGTAGACCTTTCAAACGAGGTGTCACATGACCCCTGTTTGTATTTAAAAAAACCGTCCATTACGTCATTACTCCAACACCGGTGACGTAATATCTCTCATATGAATGTCATGAGATGAGGTTTCAAATTCAAAAATTAAAACTCACGTGTTTTTGGAATTTCTTCAAATGTCGCCCATTTCTGAAATAATGAATTTATTCCATACATTTGCATCATACTGTATAGCCGACAAACGAGAGTCCGGAGACCTATGCTTATATTGATGACAATATCTCGGACTCCTCAAATCGTACATTATATCAAGAATTCAAGAAAATTAACCGATTCTTTTTCGAAATACAGGGTATTCATTGAAAAAAACCGCATTTTTTCAAGAAACTTGAACTTTATCTTTTTACTCACCCTATATATATGAAATGTGTATGCGACGTTCTCAACATTGAAGAATTTCTGATATATATATATGACATGCTCTCCCCTTTCCGAATCAAAAAACTTAGGAACCACCCTGTATATAAAAAAAAATGTCAGTAAACTTCGAACGAGATTGAGAAAATCCGTCCAGGCTTCACTTGGATCTCTAGTTCTCATAAAAGAACTTACCCTGGTTGGTTTAAAATTAATCGAATTGGATTTTTCTTTGCTCACCCTGTTGTAGGGCCCAAAACGTAAAATTACAATGGATACTAGATCCAGATGACATTGTACCATCATTCAGGCATGTTATTCCATGAATAAATGGCCGTTTTGTCAATTCTCGGAGTTGTTAAAAATTCCGAGCAGAAAGCTTCACTTTTCATCTTTGACAACCTGTATCTCGAAAACTAGTCAGCCGATGGGGCATGGACACTCTTGCTTAGGAAGTCAAAATCTACATCATACCAAAAATTCAGGGAATTTATTAACCGAAAGCCATTTTCCATAAGGAAAGTGCGGGGTCCTTTGCAGGCGCAAGTGTAATATATAGGTTTATATTTTTTTCAGACAAATATGGCTGAACTATTGGAAGTCCAAAATAAGTTGCTGTCAATGAAGTGCTGCTTGTGTAAGAATGTTTTATCAGTGCCTCCGATAATGGTGCTTTCCGAAGATGGAACAGAATTGAAATGCGGAAGATGTAAAAATAACAAAGAGAAGGCATCAATTTGCAGAAATATTGCTCTTGAGAATATGGCAATGTTCTTCTCATTTCCTTGCATATACAGAAATTGCAATGAAATGATTCCGTGGAGAGAGGTGGAAAGTCATGAAGACTCTTGTGATGAAAGGACGATTGAATGTCCAATTTATTATGAAGAGTGTGAAGGAAAAGTACAGGTGCTTAAGTTGGAGGAGCACTGTGAACGTTATCATGAGAATAATGTTGGTTATGAAACTTTCAATTGTTCATTGTTCGCCAAAACAGAAGTAATGGGAATCTTGATATCCAGTAATCAACAGTTCATAATATATATCACAACAGGCATCAAATTGTCAGAGATATATGTTGCTTCTTTGAAAAAAATCAATGAATATTTCACATACACTTTGAAAGTGTCCAGCACATGTGATGACACCTTTGTCGCATATGAAAATCAGCCAATTAGCAAATATGACGAAGTAGATCATTGCCTTAGATGTATGCGTTCTGATTGTGATTTGAGTGGCTATCCCCATTCAAAAGTGAAAGACAATGTCCCTGTTAATAAGTTTTTGAAGAAGGTCGATCTGACTGCCGTGAAACTTCTTTTTGGTGATATTTCCGAGATCAGATACAGAATAACAATCGTTCCGAAGGAGGAATATAAGGATAACAACAAAGGATTATCGAGCGAAATTGCAACGGTAGAAAACGATAAGAAAGAAGTGAACATCGTCGATGAAAGTTTGGAAAAGCTCAAAAAGCAATTACAGTGTCCTATATGCATGGAGTACATGATCGACAAAATCTATAGCTGCGATGAAGGGCATGTATTGTGCATTAACTGCAAAATCCAGCTGACTGAATGTCCTTCATGTAGAACAAAACTTGGAAAATTGAGAAATTTCCCTTTGGAGAATTTGGCTGATGAAGTAGTGCTCGCTTGTCTATTTTCCAAAAACGGTTGTGAGTTCACCGGAAAATTGGAATTGCTTTCTCAACACGAAAGAGAATGTGTACATAAATAGGACTGAAGTAATCCTGATGAGGAATGAATATTAAAGTTGCATTTTTCACACTAGTTTTTAATTAGAAATAACCCTTAATTATCGAATTTGCTGTGCGGTCGTGATGAGTGTTTTGTTTTCCAAAGAAGAAGAAGAATAGCTTCAAAATGTTATGCATCTTGGATATCCATGGCACCAGGCACACTCAACAAATTAATGTTACCTAACCCTCTCATTGCGGATAAAATTTTGATAGTCGTGCTCTCAAAACGGGGAAAATTAAACGTTGCGGGAACGCCTCTCTCCCGTTATACGCAAGTCAGGTACGAACGTGTACAGTGTGTCCCGTTTTCGATGCTTTTGCGTGATATCTCAGTTATCTTTGGAGATAGAACCTTGCGGTTGTCACGGTCCTGTGCCACTCTTTTGTGAAACTGAAGATGGCTTGATCATATTTTGCAAGACTGTTACCGTTTATGAGATACAGGGCGATTTTGAAAATTTAAACTTTTTGGACCCTCTCTATATCTACGAAGTTTCTCAACAAAAATGTCAAATCAAAATCTCATCGCATAGAGAATTTCACGCATAATCCAGTGGCGCACTCAAATTTTTTTCTCGGGGTATGGTTTTGGAGATACGACTCAAACTTATGAATTTTTAAATGAAACACCCTGTATTTCAAAATTCCTAATTTTTTTTGTCTTCAAAATGATATATGATGAATAATAATAAAATTTTCAAAATTGCTCAAAATCACTAAAATATTGAATTTTGATAGTTGGTTATGGTTTTTCTTATAAAAAACGTTCCAATTGAAGAAATATTTCTTTAAATTTTTTCATAGAGAGGTCAAAACCAATATCAACACTTGTTAATTAACAAAAGATTAAACTTGGGTACCTGATAGCAACAAATAAATAGTAATAAAAAGTTCATAATGTAGAAAAAGCACCTGATTAAATATTTACTGAAACAATTGAATTCCGGAATTATTCATTGACATGTTCAAATTGATGTCCATTTTCCCTAACATACAGTTGACAAACTTTCTCAATACTTCTCAACAGTTGAAATTGTTTTTCCCCCTTCATGGAACAATGAAAGAAAATGTTCCTTCAATTGTAAATTCCTTTAAATGAAAATCCCTCGAAAAACCCATAGCCCACTATTAAAATTCAATGTTTTAGTGATTTTTCAAAATTTTTGAAAATTTTATATTCATACATCATATATCATTTCGAAGGGAAAAAAATAAGGAATTTAATGAGCTTATAAAATACAGGGTGTCCAATTTAAAAAATCATAAGTTTGAGTCGTATCTTCAAAACCATACCCCGAAAAAAAAATTGTGCGCCACTGGATTCTGCATAAAATTTTCTGTAGGTCAAGATTTCAATTTGACATTTTCGCTGAGAAACTTCATAGATATAGAGAGGGTCCAAAAAGTATAAATTTTCAAAATCGCCCTGTATCTCATAAACGCAAACAGTTATGCGAAATCTGATTAGGCCATCTTGAGTTTCACAAAAAAGTGGCACAGGACCGCGAAAACCGCAAGGTTCTATTTCGAGAGATAACTGAGATATCACGCAAAAGCATCGAAAACTGGACACACTGTACACCCGTCTCCCGCAACCACAAGATAACTTGTGAATGCCATTTTTTTACATATTTCATCACAAAATGAGTTCTATTTCAATAGTCTTCATTTGAAATGAAATGTTATAATGCAATTCCTTATATCTATAATGAATTGAAAATATTGTCAAATATGAAATGAATTTTAATAATTTTTGACAGTGTATGATACCTTTCAAAATATTTTATAATACACAGTGGAACACAGGGGCGGACTGGGTTGAAAAAAGCTAGAGGGCTTTGTGGATCAAAGGGCGCAACATGAAATGATTGTCTGAGTGTTTATACAGAGGCGTAGAAGTGCACCTTTTTTTTTCATTTCGAATCTCAACTCGGATTTGGCCCAATATTGGAATATTGCATAAAAAATTAAAGGCAACCTCGATCATTGATATATGATATCATTTCCTTCTCGAATTGATGAACAGATACATTCTCACTATCTGAAAAAATACCTACTCAATATATTCATCTTCTGCATGTATTCCTCTATAAATATGGGCTTTTAAAACGATTCGAAACGAACAGAGTTGCATCGATTTTGAATGGTGTTTGAGAGTAAAGGCCATGACAATGATAACATTTTTATTTTTTACTGATCACATTTGCAATCATTCTCATTGTTTTCTTTCAAAAATCTTTCAAAAATCCATCACACTCTGTTAGTCTTATATAGTCATGAATTGAAAAATATGGAAGATGATTATATTGAATGATGTTTCCTTAACAGTGAGAGATAGAAAGTTGATTAGATAGGACAAACGTTGCTCAATTTGAACCTATTCAATATGACGATATGCACTTTCGAAAAATGTCAGCCGTTCCTGAAAAATTTTGAAGAGACTAAAAATCACTGACTCCGTTTCTAATTATTCTCTTGGTTAATATTGGAGAGAAAATATTGAAATTTTGCGTAAACAGGTTGGGATTCTCAGAAATATTCTATCTATTATTTCCAGAGATTCACCAATTTGAATTAAATCATAAAAATATAACTGAAATAAAAGTTATGTCAAGACAAAGTCTTACACTAAATCAAAACCCTCAATAATAGTCAAAAAAACTGTATCTTCTGATTATTCAACGAAACATTTATATTTTGAGTTTTTCTTTGCCTTTTGTAATAATGTAGCGTGTTATTCATGGTTATTAAGGAGTATTGATATTGGAGTCATGACGACTGATAATATATGTTTTCTTATTTTCATGCGGCCTACCACATTTGGAAATGTTTTTACTCTTCTTTAGCGCTATTTTCATTCAATGATATATAAAAAACAAATATAGCGCTCATAAAAAAACGTGAGTTGCATGTTGAATCTCTGAAAATATTGAAAAATATTTCTGACAATCATAACTTCTTCATCATGATCAATCATTTGCTTATATGAAATTTCAATAGTTTATCTCAAAAATTAATTAAGAAAATGAATGAAAACGAAATCAGTGATTTTCAGTTTTTTCAAAATATTTCAGGAACGGCTGACATTTTTTGAAATTGTAAAACGTCATATGGAAGGGGTTGACGCAACTTTTGTTCAATCTGATCAACTTTCTATCTCTAACCGTTTAGAGTTCAGGACATAGCAATATACTGTCCCTATTGAATCGTTGGACCCTGTATATAAGATGTTCTACTTAAAACTCTCACATTCTATAAAATTCAGATTCATAAAATTCTTCGTGAGGCAACTTTTTATTTATTTTCGAAATATAAAAAATGAAATAGCTACAGGAAGTGGTATTTTATAACGTATCACCCAGTACATTTCCAAATTGATTGGGTAATTACAAATTCATCACACGAAAATGGTTCTTGTGGGATGAAACAAGGTGTGGTGAAAGAGGAGAAGTAAAAGCTCACATACATTTTATACCAGGTGGTCCAGAATTCCAAGTAAAAGCCGTTATTCCAAGTAAAATGTCTGCATTCGAAAATGAAAAAAAAATCGTTACTTCTTGGCCTTCGTAAGGCGCGATATCGCCGCGTTTTTTCTTTCTTTGCTGTCTTGGATTCTTAGGATACCAGGGGTAGGGGCGCCACTGGGCAAAGGCGCGGAGGGCTTAGCCCTCCCGCCCTCTGGGCCAGTCCGCCCCTGGTGGAACATCACATGGCGCACAGCAAAATGAAGTTTCTTTTCGAATTTTTAGTTTGGAACAAACCACGCAACGCCTATATTTTTGCTTCTGATTTGTGTCTTTTGGAAGTTGTGAAGGAAAGTGCCTTGACTGCCTTGCAGTAGACGAATCGGAAGACATCCAGATTGTATTCATTGTTTTTTTTCTGAACCATATCAAGAGTGAAATTCTTGAATATTAGGTTACATTCATTCCCACATAATAATTTAAACAGAGATTCAGGTAGTTGTTTCAATTTCACTTTTCCATATCGTATATCAGCAGCTGCACCACTAAAAACGTCGCGTGATGTCGTCTCTTTCTGATTGGTAGCCTTCTGTTGTCTTTTTCACTGCATCTGTAAATAATCATTCATCATTTTTTATTCAATAACATCTTCTGTGAATATCATAAACACACACCCACTTTCAACGTTATTAGGTAGATACCAACCTAACCCAACCTTGCACGAAATATTATGTTTCAACTGTACACAAAAGTATGAACTTTTGCAGATGAGGGAAATAGAATCAGGTAGATATTTGCATGAAATCAAATCATATAGAAAGGTATCTATGCTGTCAACTCCAGATTTGATGTTCATATACTCAAGCGACTGATTGCCTTCATGCTGCTGTTAACACATACCCAGTAAACATTTTTTTGTTTCTGAAATATTTCGGAAACGTAGTATTTGATGCGTGAAACATTGCATTCAAAGTTGCCTACATATGTTTCAGAAACATTCCAGAGATGTCTGCCCTCAGGGATGTTTCATGGAAATGTTTCTAAATAATGAGTCGAATACACAAATTGAAACATTTTGGAAACATTTCTACCATGATCATATTCTGTAGGAATGTTCCATGCAATATTACATGAATATTTCTTTCATTATATTACCTGAAATGTTTCAGAAATATTTGTGAAACCAAAAATATTTGCCCTCAAAACTGTTTCATGAATAATATTCCGAATACATATACTTCAAATATTCTGGAAACATTCTTAATATGATCAGATCTTTAGGAATGTTTCTTGGTACATTCCATGAATATTCTTGAAGCAATAAATTTTCGCCACCAGAGATGTTTCGTAAATGATGTTTCAAATACATATATATAAAAACATTCTGGGAACATTCATTTTAGAACTTTCGGGAATGTTTCATGAAACATTTCATAAATGTTTTTCATTTAACAATATTACTGTTTATGAAACATTCACATTGAATGTTTCAGAATAAAAAATACCTACCAACATCGCTGGAATATATTCATATTCCTCGTGAAATAAAAGATAATAGACAT